CCATGAGCCATTTTGGTTGCCCAGTTTTACTAAACGATATATGGATCTGGTTGGTGGAAGGTATCACAAAGTGATAGCTGGTGAGAAGATTTTACAAATTGATAGTAATCTAACAAAAAAAGTATTCTCTCCTACTTTCAATTAGCTTACAAGAGGGGAGTGAATTTTTGTTCAATACTAAGCTTCCACTAAACTTTCGTTGTATGCATGTGTGTTTCAATACTGGACATCAAGACACCCCTTTAGTCATGGCAGTCAAATTACGTTTTTGCGACGAAAACTGAAAAAGATCTACTTAGCGTAATTTCACAGAAGTTTACTGGAATAAAGGGTTAAATTGTAACTAATGATCCTGTGATTTTCAAATTTTTTATTTGTAGGTCAGCTATTTGGTCACGTGCACAAAGACGACTTCAGACTTCAGACTCTGGAATCAAACTCTGACTCTGTCTCTAATGACGCAAGGAAGTCTTTTGCATTGATCGCTCCCTCTCTTAGTCCAGATTACAAGAGTAATCCAGCCTTCCGTGTGATGATATTAGATGAACAATCAATGTCTCTTTATGACTACAATCAATACTACATTGACCTCGACTCGACCAAAGGTAAGGGCGTGGGTCTGTAACTAATCAAAACAAGGACGCATTAACGATCATGCCGAGTTGTGGAGAGTTGTAACTTTACAAATGTCACCATTTGAAACGAAGTTTTACATTATTCTTCACTTTCAAACGTTTCCCAGTTTGTGTCTAAAAAGATTAAATGTATCTTTACCTTTTTTTTTTCAGTGTCCTCCACTCCTGTGTGGCGGTTGGATTACACATTCAGCAAGAAATACCCCTTGTTTGCAAATAAGTCTATAGATGCTGATCGAATCTATAAACTAACCGAGGCTTTAATAAATAACGAGAATGATATGTTCTGGAAAGCTTACGCATTTTCACGACAAGTTAATTACTGGCCCGATTATTATCCAAGGGCAGTTCTTTATTGTTCCATGC